AAGGACAAGTAAGTTCCAAAAGGAAAGTGAAAACTCAGATGAATAAATAGCTCCTAAAGGCAACAGTGAGAAGACATGAAGGCAAAGAAAGAAGGTATTTTAAGATCCAAAATAGCTATTTTAGGCCCTGGTATCTCTGATCAGAGTGAAGTAAGGGATACTGGGAGAAATAAATAATATACATGCCAAAAGGAAAATGCCATTTTCTCCTGTCATCTTCAATGCTTTGTTCTAGAGATTTATTCACCTTCTGTATGGTACTGGCTGTTGCAGGTTATGTAATGGGTTAAGTACTTCCAGTATCTAAATGCAAGTAGTTATGAAGGAAAGGAAATACTTCTCTATGTCTAGCTGGCAGTGGCCATAACACAAGCACTGTATTTAGAATGTTTGCACCCAACTGAGAAGCCTTGTTATGTTTTTTGTAGCAGGGTAAATGCAAGGATTGGTTTTGCAATTCATGAAAACCTGCGTCTTTATACTACTGTGCTATTTTGAAACAGGGAAAATTCTTGATGAACTGTCCCTGGATTGTGTCAGTCCAGAAAATTGTCCCATGTGTGCAGTTGGAGATATCCAGATCCTGCATGGAAGGAGAATAGTTTTGAACAGAGATGATCGACAGCACTGTCAAAATTGGTATGATGGGTTTATGCAGTGAAATAGCATGCCTGCTTAGTAGGATGAAGGGAGAGAGATGAAGCACATCCACATGAATGTTTTTGGACATAACTTTAAATATACCACTGAAGATGAGGCTTGGAAACCATCTTTTATGTCACTATCCCTTCACATACAGTCTGAAGCTGAAGTTTTTCAGTGACAGCAGGGATTATAGGATGTCAGCTGAATTTCAGTAAGTGAAATTCATAAATTCCTTTCAAAAAAGGCCTTTTCCCGTGTGTAGGTGGCCCTACTGGCTTCAAATGTTCCACTTCTTTTTGTGTAAGGTGTGATTCATCATCAATAAAGCCATCAGATTCTTTCCTTCTGCCAGTACTAAAAAAATCCCACATATAGTGCAAGACCTGAATGTGCACTCAGTCTAGAACTTGCTGAGGAATTGTGTACTATTACTGGAAAACCAATTTCCCCCAAATTTTAAGATGATATCCCATGGACTGATCCTGCATGCATGCATTTCCAAATATGATGAAATTAATGACAGGGTGCACAATGCTGTGCACCATGCAGGTTGAGGGCCTTCAGCTGCAATGTAGCAGAGACTGATTTTCATTTTGTATACTGCCCAGTGGCATATTATGCCATGGCCTATAGTATCTGGAAGTTTGGTGTTCTCCAGATGTCTAGACTCTTGATGGATACTTTCACTAGTCATAACGCTGTGAATACAGGAGAGTTTTCCATCTTGTAATTTGACCATATTTAATAGAAACTGAGTTGTAAAACCGCAGCAGCTATTAGCCCAGACTAACACCTTAGCTCCAAATGCTCTGATTCTCACAGAAGATCTGAATGGGTATGAATTTTGAATTCCTGGCCTCTTGCCGGGGCAAGCATACTTCTGTGCTATAAACCCAGGGCATGGGACTGTTAGGCTAATCAATTAAATATATTTTTTTAACAGTGTATACAAAGAGCCTTGAATTTTATCAAAAGGTCAAGAAAGAGTCTTTATAAATGAGTCTCTGTTCCCTAATTTTTGTAATTCTTAATAGTAATTTATCTTAAATGTTGATACACTGGCCACTGCTTACAAAAGATCTCAGAACATAAGGAAAACTTACCTCACTAGGGAAACATCCTTTTGCATAGCTGTCACCTAATTTAGATGCCTACACCATCTGTACAAACAATAGAAAATATTGCACAAAAATGAATTTTATAGCAAATATCCAAAGGAAATTGGAAACTAGAAGAGGCTTGTTCATATTAGGATTAAAATAATAAATCTTCTGTTGCTATACATTAATGCCAAAAGTAGCTGTGCATTCTTCGGTTAGGAAGACACTAAAAGCAGCTTGAAAAGAACATAGTGCTTAAACTAAGGGAGCTTAAACTGAGGTGCCACATGTAAAGTGAAGTCTTTTCCTCAAAAATGGCGCCTTCTTCCAGTATTGAATCATTTAGTTTGTGCATTCTGGGTTTTCTCTGACAGTGAAAACATGCATTTTTTGGTCCTTGCTCTTTCATAAACTTTTCCTATTCTGTTTCTTGGACTGTTCAGTAAGACAAATAAAACATATTGACTGACTCTGTACCACCATGTGCATGAGTACAGTCATGTTCTTTGCTAATAAGTGAAGTAAAGAGAATCATGCAACCAGGAATTTGAAGGGCAGAAGTGTTAAAGCCTTGCTAAAGATAGAAAGAGATGAATTATAAACAAGATCCTAAAAGGTGGAGGGTGAGAGAGGTGAAAAATCTCATGGCGGTACAGAAGGACGAATAGTGGAAAAGGCAGAGATGTGGGAAAAAGAGAAATGGGAGCCGAGATGGGAAGGGTAAAAGAAAAATGTACTAATGGAGTAGAAATGGTGAGGGAAGACATTGGGCTAAAAAGAGATATCAGATATACATGAAATATATCATTTAATATGAGAAAGGGGACTGAAAAAGAGGACATGGTAAATAAGAGGAAGAGAGACATTAAAAAAATGAAGGATTAACATGTGCCAAAGCTGCATTCAAAACAAAATGAAGTTAGTTAAAAGAAAAGGAATGTAGTGCACTTTAAAGGTAGAAAAAAGGCTATTTGTTGTTTCACTAAGGTTAAAATCTAGGTAAACCTAGCCTCCTCACAAGAGTCCGCTAAGTCATATCAGAGCCAAAAGCATCTTTCCCATTCTAGGATTTTACTTTGTATTAACTGCTTATAGTTTGCCTCATGTTTTGCTTCCTTGTGAAGCAAACCAGATCTGCCAGTTCAGTCCACCAGTGGCTTGTAGGTAGCCATATTGCTGAAGCACAGTGGGTTTCTAGACAGTTTCCAGACACAGATTTTACACATCCTGCCAAAGGCTGTTATCAGGAGAGTTTACTCTGACAAACACATCATAGTTTGTCATATGTTTCCTGGATCTAAACAAACACAGATGAACATATAGGATTTAGCTGTACAGTGCCTTGTGGGGACTTGTGGGGAAATGAGACAGGGAAAAAATTATTCACATCATATTTTGGTTTTGTTGGGTTTTTGAGATATTTAACTGTTTCTGTATGGACATACTTTTATTATTGTGGGTGATGTGTTATTGTAAGTGTTGATTTTTTACAGTTAAATTTGGTGATTTTTGTAGTCTGTGTGAAGGGAAGAACTTAACCTGTGTACCCTGTGAACCAGTGGAAGACACCCTAACACCGACCACACCTGCTCCAGAGGAGGACGTTGAATTACTGCCCAGTGAATACTCATGCAGCAAGATGATGGACTTGGCCTTCCTACTGGATGGCTCCAATAAACTGTCAGAGGAGGACTTTGAACATCTGAAGACTTTCATAATTGGCACAATGAAGAAACTCCACATCTCCCAAAAGAAAATCCGAGTGTCAATTCTAGTGTATAGGGCTGGCCCCACAATCTATCTTGGCCTTAAAGATATCAAAACACAGTCCCAGATGAGAAGAATTGTCCAAAGCATAAAATACACAGGTGATGAAGTAGCATCGGCTACTGAAGTCCTTAAATACACTGTGTTTCACGTGTTTGGAAAAGCAGAAAGGACCAATGCTGCCAGAATTGCAGTGCTGTTTATAGCAAGCAAGTCTCCAGGAAAACTCCGCAACATCCTCACAGCTTTGAAGAATAAAAAAATTGCAGTAATACCTGTGGGGATTGGACCTTATGTTAGTGTGGAGCAAATCAGGTTCATTGAAAAGCAGTCAAAAGATAATAGAGCCTTCCTAATGAACAATGTGTTAGAGCTAATGGATAATAGGGATCTCCTCATTGATCATCTATGTGATCTTGGACCTGAAGAAAGTCCTCTATTACAAGCTACATCCACTCCAACAATATCCAGTGTCTTATTTCCCCCCTGGGGACTTACAGCACCACCACCCTTTTCAGAAAAGCCCACTCGCAAAAGGCTGGACATTGCTTTTATTGTGGAAGGATCTGACAATGTAGGGGAGGAAAATTTCAATATTGTCAAGAAGTTCCTTGAGAAGGTGATCACAAGAATGAATGTGGGATGGGAAGATATTCATATTACAGTCATGCAGTATTCAGAGACTGTCACTCTGGAGTATTCCTTTAGGGAAATACAGTCAAAGGAAAGTATTATTGAGAAGGTGAGGAGCATACCCTACCAAGGAGGGAAGGCTACCAACACTGGCAATGCCCTTGATTACATTTCCAAACACACATTTACACAAGTGAATGGGGGCAGGCAAGACGTTCCTCACTTGGTATATATGGTGTCATCCAGTCCTTCCACTGATGTTATTACACGGCCTCCCAGGAGCATAAATGTTATTCCCATAGGCATAACCCCCAATGCAAATATCCAAGAGCTCAGAAAGATCAGCCAGCCTAATAACCCAATTATCTTGCATAGTTATAGCACACTTATTGAAGAAGCACCAGAATTAGTGCTGCAATCGTGCTGCTCTCATAAAATTTGGACGGAAATTCCAGGTAACGTAGGACTTATTTTATGTGTAATTTCCTCTTTCCTCTGTCCTGTCTCCTCTGTTTCCCTCTCACATCCCTGAAATTTGAAGGATTCCCATATCTCATTTGGTATCTTGTTGTCCAAATGCCAAGGAAGGACCATTTATCTTCACTGGAGGCTGAGGATGCTGCCTCATTTCAGCAGTACTGAGCACAGACCTGCAGCCAGCCTTCTGTAGGCTCAAAAGTCGTTGACTCCATTTGTCAGTAAAGTACAGTAGCTTTCAGATAGGTTGGAGGGTGACAGAAGAAAAAAAGTTATCTCCTCTGCCTGCCTCAAGCAAGTTAAAATTATACTTCCTCTTTCCTGAAAACGCTTTGTTGTTCTTATGGTTTGTTTGTTTGTTTGTTTGGGGTTTTTTTTGGGGTGTATTTTGTGGGTTTTTTTCGTTTGGTTTTGCTTGGTTTTTGTTGGGGTTTTGTTGTTGTTAGTTTGGCTTCGTTTTTTTTTTTTGTTTGTTTGCTGTTGGTTTTGGTTTAGTTCTCTGGGAATAAAACAGCGTTAGTAGAGAAGCAGGAATTGAAATACCCATGTATCCCATTGAATGTAAATCTCAAGGTTTTCATTAAAGAGGCATCACTTATTGTTTCAACTGGTCATCATCCTGCTTTATTTTCCCAAAATGGAGGTATCTCTGCCCTTTCTGCTCCTACCAATAGATTAGCAGATGCTACTTATGGTTATCATGTATAAAAAACCTTTTTCCTCCCCCTGCCTTCCTCAGAGTTGTGCAACAAACCAATGGATGTCATGTTTCTTCTGGATGGAAGTTCCAATATTGGAGCATCAGAGTTTGAGGAAATGAAAAACTTCGTACGGGCATTTATTGAAAGTGCTGAGATCAGTATGTATCTGTCTTTTAACTCAAACAGATAAAGATGTTTTGTATTCTTTTGCTTCTCAAAAAGCTTCTCAGTTTAGGTTTTTTTAATTTTTATTTTTAAATGACTCATTCCAATCCCTCAAAAAAAATATCAAGTTTATATTGGGGAAATCAGGCTAGTAAAGCTTTTGGTTCAGATGCAGTTCAGTTTTCTCCCAAACCAAGCTGTTCTGGTTCAGGTGAATAAAGGCTTGACCTCCAATTCAGGGAACTGTGTGACAAGGAATAGCTTGGACAACAGCTCTGATGAGCTCTTCCCTTTACACTGTACTGAACAAAAGAAGTGTGTGTGCCAAACAGGCAAAGAGGTCCCTATCACAGAGTATTTAGTTGAATTGTTATTCTGTGGCAGAAAAGAAAAAATACGTGTTTGGTTTTGGTTCAGTTCTGGATTAGGTTCAACAGACTCAAAAATAATAGTTCAAGTTCAGTTCTGGTTCAAGTAAGAATGGATAATTCAGAGAGTTTTTTGTTCAGGTTTGGTCCAGCTGCAACATTTTGGTCTTTGGAAGAGGCATTTCTGGTTCTGACCAGCCCTTTTTGGCTAACCTAGGCTGGAACTGACCTTTAAAGATTTGTTTCCTGACCCATTATGGAATGCAGACACTTTTTGGGGGTGCTAGACTCACTGAGCTTGCAGAACATGTACTGATGGGAGGTACATCTCTAGTTAGGTCATTCAGCACACATATTATCAGTGCAGCCACCTTGGCAGAATGCCATATATCCTGCACATACATGAAAGGACTGGGTGGCATTGTGTGTCCTTGCACCAAGTGCATCCGCATAGCAGGGGCTGCACAGGATCCTGTGTTTTCCCAGTAGCATTTGTTTTAACAAACCTGGATTTTTTGATCAGAATCATACTTTTTCAGTTCAGCTTTAAACTGTGTGCATGGAGCAGCTGCTGTTGCTACTGGTGTTTCGCACTGGGTGTTCACGTGTTCTTCCAAAAGAGGTGATTACCAGCACTTGTCACTTGTACTAATTAGAAAGCTCATAGAGGAAAAGTATAGCATTTCTCTATGTCTAGAACAACTTAGATTTTTTTTAGAGATCATACATGGAAGACACTGTGTTTCCCAAAATTGTGTACATGCATGACTTAGAGAAGCAAACCAAATGAAATAAACACAAACTAAACAATAAACCAACAGGCAATTTATTTTAGCCTAGCTGTTTTCCTTATCATTGAAGTCCATAACAGCAAACGTTAGATCATTAACAACAGTGCAATAATAATGTAGGTATGAAATGGGTCTCCTCACTATTGCCTGTATTTTAGAATCTTTAAGAAGAATGTGAAAAAGTCGTAAAGTGTAGTGCTGCAACATTTGGGTACATTAAATCACAGTTATTATTGACTTCATTCATAAATGTTTTACAAAACATTGATAAAGAATAACATGCTGTATACATAAGTATGTTCAGTATACAGTAGAAGTCCTTCTAAGACCATGAAGAGATGTACAGTTGATTATTATAAACAATGTATTGTCCAGTTCAGTTCTGCAAGTCTGATATTTATTAACTATGTATATCAACCCTCTGTTAATAGTTTTATTCAGACTTCTTACATAATGTATAAGCAGAACCAGCATGTCGGAGAATAGCAGAAACTTGGAATTTCTCTTCATTCCTCTTTGCAGGTCATGCTCCCTGGGTCCACTATGTCTCATGCTGCAGCCTGATGTATGTCACTCAAATGATGAATGACAGAGGGAAATTTGCATGAAATGTAGTCATCCGGGGAGCCTGGCCCATCAGACAAAGGGGACATCAAACTACTACTCTTGCAAAACAATGTACACATAAAACCCCCTGATATTTAGACACTTTTAAAATGGAAAAGGAATAATACTTGGAGATCAATACAGTGAAATTCTCCAGTTATGGTCAAATTGATCTGAGGTAAAATACTGCTTGCTGATTCCTGACAGAAAAGCAACTGTATCCAGCAGTACTTGCACATTTTTTCACCTGGGAATAGTTCAGTTTTGATCTTGTTATTGAAAATGTGGCTTTCACATTGATGGAAAATTGCTGTGTAGTTCTGCTTAATATAAAGCACAACGATAATGTGTCCTTTAGATTTATTTTAAGACATTTGTATGCACTGCTTAAAATGTTTATTTTCTGTTTCAGGCAATACTTCAATTCATGTGTCAGTTCTCCAGTATGCCAGGGAAAATAATCTAGAAATTTCATGGAACATGCCTCAAGAGACTGAAAAGCTTGTAAGGATGGTGCACTCAATTCAACAAAGGGAGCAAGGTCCTACCAGACTAGGTGAGTGATTGTGTGGATGTTGATGTTTAAACAAAAGGGGAAAAAACCCCAGAAACGCTTAATATAGCCTGGCCCCAATCTCCAGTTTATGTCAGTGCTATTGTGGTAGCGTCCTGCAGTAGGACTCTCAGTTTTTTTATTTTGCTCATATCTTTACTATATGTACATTTCTTGGTAAAGGTTCAATTTTCTCTATTAAAATCATCAGTAGGTTACTCGAATTAGGGGTTATCTAATGTATTTTGGAAAGAAAAGGACTGTTTTCTTTTTAATCTTGAAGTAATTATCAGGATTTGCATTCATTATCTTTCAGCAGCCAAAACATAATTAAGAAGTACAGACTTTAATCATTAACCTTTCGGCATCAATTAGTTGATTAGACATTTAGCAGCAGAATTGCTTCTGCTGACTTCAATAGCGGCCCTTGCCAGATGTTTGTTACTCTGTGCTGAGCCAGTGTAACTGATCTGGTTGAAAAATAACTTAGTAAAACAGTAGTTATATTCTAGGTGGTTCAGTTTCCTCATCCAAGTTGCCATGCTGGTCCCACAAGGACTTGGGCTGGCACAAAGCTGGGGATAGTGCCAGGGAGGAAGGACCACCTAAGGTGGCACCTTAGATGAAGAGTTACTTGTGAAACATCATCTTCTGTTCCAGACAACTGCATCCTGAAAAACATGTCCGCTTACATTTTCATGTGCTAAAACATAACACAGATTTCCCACTGGGTCTGTGGAAATTCAGTACACACACATGTATCAGTTGTAGGGTTCAGCAAAAAAATTATTGTCCTACAGCATATCTGATCTTTCACCAGATACCCTGAGAATTTTGTTCTTCTGGACTGGAACCACATTTGCTCTGGCAGACACCTAGCATTAGGGTCCTATAAGAGTTGAGGAGTACACAGATTTTTAGGGTCTTTGGCCTACTTCAGACTGTAAAGAGTTATTGGTACAGAAAAGTGAGAAATAAAACCTGACTTCCATAGTTCGCAGGAGGATTAGCCATGATTGCTTTCTCAGCCTGGAGAAATAAAAATACCAGATGGCTGATGAGACTTCTATAGGCTCATTGTGGGATAAATTGTTACGTACAAATAGATAAGTTTCATGAAGCCTTCCATGTAATGTGTATAGTAAGCCACACTGAACTACAGGATAAACAGAGAAAACATGGCCTTTGGGAAATGAAATGGGAGAGGCAGCCACATGACATACTCGTTAGTGATTTGTTTATGTCTCATTGGAAAATGCTCAGAGACCACGATGAGGGATGTGGTATAATGAACCAAAATGGAATAGAGTAGAAGTAGTTCCTCCCAAATGAAGTAATGAAAATAAGTCACTGTGGTCCTGTCCTGCACCTTGTAATGTGTGTGAATTCAGCTGACTCTGTAGGAGATTCAGCATCCATGGGAAATGCATGGTCATTCATGTCATTCTGTCTATGATCAGGCTCTGGAAATGCAGAGGCTCCTTAAAAGTGTGGATGGCTCAGTCTGGATGTTGCAGTTCCGTAGGTAGCTTTGGAAATCTTTTCTAGCCTATGAAGGGCTTGATAAGGATTTACCTATCAATAATATCATTACCATCAGACCAGTGCTTTTTCTTCCCATTTGTGCTGACTTCCCTATGGTCGAAACATGATACTGTGTAATCCTTATTCAATCTTTGCTGATCCAAATAATCCTATTTTGGTCAAAAAAGCTATATGTGCAGAGAGCAACCATAGACTCTCTTGCCATCGCTGCACAAGTCTTACTGCAGATAGTGTTTCTTTTCGTGTTTCATTTAACCATAGGGAAACTCCAGGAGAGAGATACATTTTATTAGTAAGAAATAATGGAAAACTACAGAGTATTTGAGGGCATAGGCAGAACAAAAAAGAACAGCCTATACCACAAATCTTTCCCATGCTTATGCAATAAGATAACATCAGGCAAATTTTGGCTCAAGTAACTTACTGAGAAGAAGCTCTGGGGATATTCAGACATCATGAAATTGTGTACAACTTCACATAAGAAATAACTAAAAAGAGAGTAAACTATCTGCAAGCAAGAGCTGACGATATAAGCCTTCATTCAGCTGAGTGATCTATGCGAGAGAACTGAGAATCGCATAAACATGCCTCTGTTCAGCATTCACGGGTATTTAGGAGAGTCATAGGGAGCACACTGAGCAATCCCTGCAGTAAATACCACTTAACACTTTATAAAAACATGATTTTGCTTGCTCATACATTTACTAAAAGTAGCTCATTTAGACTGATGTTTTCCATGCCCACTGCCTGCCTCAGACTCAAAATTTGGAGGAAGTATGATCTATGTGACTCAACTGTATTAAAAGCACTTTTGGAAAGAAATATGTGTGTGTCCTGTTACCCTGTTGCCCGCCGCTCCCCACTTTAGGAAAAAAACTTAAACATTTTTACTGAAACTTTCTGTATTTATTAGCATATTTGAACAGCAGCATTCAACTTTCCCTGTCATGATTAAGAAGGTATAAATGTTTCCTTTCTAACCCCCTACTGTGGTTTAGGAAGCAAAGGCCCACCATAACACCTTTCCTTAATCAGATTGCTGCCCTGAGTGATGCAGTCTATTTTCAAAGTCTTGCTCCCCATCACTCACCCAAGGCCATGGTTTTGCAAGCACCTGACCTGATCTAAAGGCTCCCATCCACTGAAAGACAAGAGGTCTTCCTCACTTGCTCCCCCACTACTGTTTGTGAATTGGTAGCGTCAGCTTCTTTCTGAAGGCAGCTTTGTTTGGGTGCCTACTAGTCTCTTCCCTGAGCTATTTTAATTCACTGTCCTGGCAGGTTTTTTCGTTTGCTTGCTTTAGTTAATCTCTTATAAGGTTTGTGGGTTGAATGTGGTCCTCATGGAGCCCAGGATCATCAGAACCCCTTGGTGGTAAGAGCAGGATTTGTGACTTGCAGATCCGAGCCAGGAAAGCAGAGTAGAGGGTTTGCGGCCTCATAGGCTGCTCCTTTCAGTGGTGGTGGGCTGTTGGACTGACAGGTCTGTACCGTTCATGAAGAGTTCAGCCATTCTGTTAATGGGCACAAGTTAATGCCAGAGTATCAATGTGCTATTTAAAGCATCAATCTGTGGGATGAGTTTGCAATAGCTAATTTGTTTAAAAATTAAAATAATCTGCTGTTTTCAGTTAAAAAAAAAAAACAATTCAATGTCAAGTCAAGATTCTAAACTAAGATATAAAGACCAGCTTCAGGTTTATCGTCATGGAGGGTTGTTCCTGATTAGACAAGTCCTTGGTTAAATAGACACAATATGGATTATCCACAGTCCAGATAATGTTGTCTTTTTCTATACCTCTGCAAGTGCTGAGGAACCATTTCTTTTTTGCTTCTTCCCAGGCAGCTCTCTGTACTTGTGGGTGATTAAAACTCTTGTAGTACATTTTCTTTTTTGGTCAAGATGTAGGAGAAGTGTTAGTGAAACCACTGAGACCACTTAAGGCACTGATTCACAAGCTCCCAGCAGGAACCTCCGCCTAACTGGAATCCCCTGTCTGTCACAATTCCACAGACCCTCACAGGGGCTTTACATTTTGTTCCTGACTTCAGATAAAATTAAAGAAAATAATTGCAAAGGTTGCTTTTAAGCAATTTCTGCTTTTCCTGAGGCACCCACCAAACCATCAAATGTCTGTACTGGTTTATTTTCCTCCAGATTGGCTTATTCTGGGATGAATCTTGGTTTTTTATTTCTTGGATGTATTTCAAATATTTCTAGGGCACCTTGTGCTCTTTCAGTTCATTCCATGATGTTCATAATTGCTCCCAATCTAATATCTGTGATTCAGATTAGCATGCCTTTTACACATTTTTTCCTCCTTTATCTTCAAATCATTAATGAAATTAATCAATAAGGCAGAATCTAGTGTAATTCCCTGTAGACTCCCAGTAAACACCTCCAACCCTGCTCAACAGTTTGTCTTTTGTCCTTAAAGCTTGTTTATGTCCATTTAATCAGCTTTCAGCCCTTGCAGGAAGCTCTACACGAACCATTCTGAATTATTGCTTCAGACTATGAGTCTGGCTTGAATGGGTGTCAGGTGACTTAAAAATTATTCAGCTAATTAGCCCATATTGAATAGTCTTGTTCAAGGAAACCAGAAAAAGGTTCTTACACAGTCTTTTCTGACTGTCAGAAGTTCAGCATCAAATGTTCATAGTCTTAGCTGACAGGAGAAGACTGTGCAGTGATGCCATCCCTTCTCCATCCCACTCCCTGCCCCGGCCTGGCCCCATCTTTGTGTATTATCTTCTTCGTGTATTATTCCAAACATGACTTTTGTTTTGTACTCTGTAGTGTAGTCAGGAGTGTATCAGCACTGAAAGATGGGGAGAAGGTGCTGTGCTGTGGTGGCAGCCTTTGGAATGACCGACCTGCCCTTTCTAAAGTGGCCCATATAGATCAGTGATTTTTGGTTTTTTTTTTTCATTTTATTTATTTGTACTTTTTCCCTGGACATGCCCAATGGCTAACAATCATGCCCTACTGGCTGAGCTGAAAGGCTCAGTGCTCCTGCAAGCTGGGCCTTTTCGTTCAGTTATCCAGATAAATGTTTAGATGGTCAAATTGGGAAGGGGGTGTGTGTGTGCACGTGTAAAATTAATTGTGGCTGTTATGCCTGTGAAGACCAGCCTAAGTGTAACACGTTAGGAGGCAGTAGGAGAAGAGGATGGAGGAGGTCAGGGACAGATGATCAGACTTGCATTCCCCATCATGTCCACTGGCTTTGGGAACAGCTTTTTTTATTGTGTGTTGTGCTGCTCTCAGCTCTGTTATTCTCCTGTATGCGATGAAGGCTTTTGGCTTTGAGACTTTCATCTTGATTTCTCATAGGTTGTATGTCTAATGCCTAAAATGCATGTAAGTACAGAAGTCATTCTTCTTCCAAAGCCCATTTGTTGCCCCTTTTTTTTTTTTTTTTTTTTTTTTTTTTTTTTTTTTTTGTGATAGCACCTTGTGTATGTGAGAAACAGAAACCATTTGTAACAATAATACATGAGACTAACATAATTTACTCCTATTTCCAGTATGTGGGAACATGTTGGCTGCTAGTCTGGGCTTAGGGACGCATGCACACCCAGAGAAAATCCTTAAAAATGTGTAACCCTTAAAGCCCATAGCAATCCTTCCATTCACTTCACTGGGACTTATGCCCCTTGTCAATGCTAGCAAATGATGTTTTGGCCACTGTCAGATTTTCTTTGAAGACAAAAAAATTGTTTCGTTGTTTTATGGAGCATGATTTAGGGTATTTTCTATTAGAATTTCAGTTTTCTCTAGGGTCCATCACTGAAATAAGTAGCTGATGGTGTGGTCCCATACAGCTAAACAGAGTTAAGCGCTAGCTACTGCAGAAGAGCCCAGCCCCAGTCCCCAGACACGTCAGTGCCATACACTGCCTTCCTTCTGTGGGAAGTGGTGTGCACTGAGCTTTCAGCAAGCTGAGGGAAGGGCCAAAATGTCTGAAAACAGTGAACTTTTTAAATAAGGTTGTTTTTCAGACATAGTGAGTTGCCCAAGGCAGCTAGCTGCGTGGCCAGGTGGGCAGCCGTGCTGACTGCCGGGGACTGGGAGGTCATGCCCAGCTGGAGCACCTGGAGGAGAGGACCCTTCCTTCTGCCAGCAGCTTGCTACAGCACTAACGCAGTCAGAGATGCATTTGTAATGTGTGTAGCTATGTCAGAGCAAGCTGGAGTGGAGCCAGCAGCAGCAGTGGCCCCGATGTCAGCTGCTGAAGGGGTGTACAAGACAGGAGGTGGTCTTATAAAGACTGAAGCCTACATGGCTCAGACCTGGTGATTTTAAAGCTGGTTTAATTACCTCCCAGATGCTGTGCGCTCTCCAGTCTTAACGTAGCCTTGTGCTTGGTGATATTTATTTCAGTGTAAACATTTTAAATTTGCTTTATTGGTATGAAATGGCAGATTACTGTTATGTTGCAGTCTAGTAGTAAGAAAATGTTTGAATTGGTTGGTTTATTAGCAGTCAATATTTTTTATTATGGCCTCTGAGGAGTTTGGTATTTCCCTCCCTGGTGAGATGTAGAGACAAACAGCTGAGAAGTGACAGCTTCTAGCTTGGGATGGTGACTTTCTGAATCCCTCTAGCAGGACAAAAGTGTTCATTTGATCATGTCTTCAGACACCTGGCTCTTTTCTCTAGAGCTGGCTTCAAAATAAGGGGAGAAATCCAAAGAGATTTTAGTACACTAAAACAATTTTTCCATGCATTAAATTGAATAACAGTTTTTTGGGGACTTTGAAATAGTCCCTGGTTCTATTACAATGGAACTTGTTTTCTTTATTAGAAATTATAAAAATAATGGATTTTCCAGTTTACAGATATTATGGAAGTTTCTGAAAATTTTCAGAATTAATAGGAGAAAGGAAAACGGAGCTGGAGCAGCTAGTGACCATACCAAACACACAAAAGTCAAAGAGTCACTAAAAAAAGACAGAGAAATTCCAAATACTCTTTACAAATGAATGAAAAATCATTTGTGATTCTTACTGTGCAAAAGTTTAACCTAAAATATTTGAAAGTTAAAACCTGAAACACTTTTTTAGTAATTATTTATAGGAGAAAAGGGAAATGAGTCAATTTTCTGGCACAGCGACCATCCTGGAGTAATGTCAGGGACTGGAATATAGTCATATTAATTTTCTGGATTTTGTTTTATCCCTTAGTTATTTACAGCTAACATGCCATTCTGCATCTAACACATATGGAGTAACTACTGCACAACAAAACCGTTTGTAGCAGTGATTGTGAGACAGCTGTATAGAACATGAGTTAATATCTGGGGTTATTTAATTTTTCTGCTTAGGAATAGTCGTTTGTGAAATGGAACCACCATCACTCAACTAGTAATGATGTTATAAAACGTGTTTTGTGGCAAGTAGAAAACATTCAAAATTTTAAGGTTTCCACTGAACAGAAACTCTGAAGTGTTTTCATTTTGTATGTAAAATAACATTCAAAATTATAGTGGGAATGAAAATCAATTATAGGGATGAAGTGAATTTACACACGTAGAAGAACTAAATAAAAGATAATCATTGCATAGCAAGGAACAGAAGAGACACATCCTATTTTGTTCTTAAATATTGTTGAAAGCTTTCTGTTGATTCCCCCCCCGCCCCTTCTGATCACAACTGACATCTCCAAAAAGCCTTTTGATTTAAACAAACATGTATCTTTCTATATGAAAATGAGCATTTGGGAAAATATGTGACCCTCTCTAGACAGGAGATTGCTAGTGGAGGAGGTGGCACATAATAAGTGGAAGCTTATTGGAAGAGAAATTGATGTGGATTCTATTCCCACGGCAGGTCTGACAGGGCCTGGCAGATGTTCCTGGTGGATCCCAGCTCTTCTCTTTAGTTATGGGCACCTGTGTGGAGAGAAGGCACATGAAGATGAGGCTAAGGCTCTGGGGAGGAAATAGTGATGATGGGCTAACAAGGAAGAAGAGGTGGCTGGATAAGGTGGGAAGGGGATACGAGGCTGTCAGTCAGGGACTGTAAGGTGTATGGGACAACAAGACAGCAACAGTATTCGAGTCACCTCCAGATGAGTACTGTGGCAAAGGAAACTTCTGGGCTTTTTCCAGATACCTATTCTAGGTTAGATTCTTCCAAGGGGTAAATTCTTCCTGAAACCCTAATTAAAGCCTTGTATGATATCCGACTGCTGTAGCCACATTATCTATAGTCAATGTGCTGAGTGAGCTTCCTAGAGGTTGTCCATGCTTGCAGCATCTTGGGAAAAGGATCTTTGCTTCTACCAGTGAAAAGGGGTGCGTGACATGATGAACAAAAACACAAAGTGCAAAGTGTTCAGGTCTACTAAGGTATTCTGGGGGTGTGCTGGTGAATTATCTATGATCTGACTTCCAGCGTGTTATGAATGTGTTGGTTATTTAAAATTGTTCAGTGGGTTCCTGATGCAAACATATTTTTGCTCCACAGATATTGCAGATTACTCAAAGGAGCTAGTCTTTCAAGTATTTATTATTCACTGTGCACTGTTTGCCCTGAATGTCAAATCAGCCACACTGTATCGTTTCTACTTCCTGACCTGATAATTTCCAAGCCCAAAGGAGCTTTTAAGAAAGCTGCATATCATGATTCCCAGAATAAATATTTGTGCAAATACATACCTCAATACAAGTACTAGCAAAACGCTCTCTTGCTGAGGTCATGATTTTGAACAAAAATTTGCCTGAGCATTCACGGATGTTAAGTGAAAGGGCAGCAGCTACCCATTTAAGCCAGTTTGTGATTTGGTAGCTAAGGTAGAATTTCTTCGTGTGTTTTGTGGGGTTTGCTGGGGTTTGTTTGTTGTTTTGGGGTTTTGTTTTGTTTTGGTTTGGTTTTAATATGAATCGGCCAATTACATTGTGGGTTAGCCTGAGTCTAGATTTCAGAGAAGTTCCTGGCAGTCGTGGGCAAGATACCCTGTTCACATCCGTAGAAGAAGCTGACCAAATTAGGGTAGGACTAGATCTCTGCGAGCTGAGCAAGTTGTGTGTACAGTTCAGGATGATGTGACGGTGTAGATCAGATGGCCACTGGATGTCACTATTGTTCTGCAATTTGGAAATAAGTACCTACTCTTCTACAGTATCTTCTTTCCTTTTGTGTAAATGCAATGGTAATACTTCCGGAAAAGGTAACTACTGAAGTGAGGAGCATAACTTTATCCTCGTGGCTAAGGAAAGGTAGTAAAATTCCCATTACTTCGGAGACTGTGGAGCCTAAGGATGGTCCTCCTGTGTTGGGACGTGTTAATAGTACTGGTAGGTTCTAATAGCTGAGATCTGTCATGTAGCAGCAATAAAGCAGACATTAAAAGTCCTTTAAGAGTAAGTATTTTCCAGTACTGTATAACCTACTAATACAATGTAAGATTTAGTTTTATAGCCTCCTATGTGTTTTCTATCATATTTCTCATTTATCTCTTCATTTCTTCTTAGGAAAAGCCATTGATTTTGTAGTTCAGAATGCAATGTCGGAATCCCACGGAGGGAGACCCAGCGCATCAAAGGTCGCGATAGTCATTGTTTCAGGGAGATCAGAAGACACTGTGGAGGCTGCTGCACTTTCTGCAAGAATGAACAGTAAATCTTGTTTCTCTGTCGCTGGTTTTAAGCGGAGTTGTTGCTTTTTAAGTAATGCAACAGAACAAAGGATGAAAAATTAAGGCACTGCTGTTCGTAATAGCTCAGGACTTTCTGTGCATAACGTTCTGGTAAGAAACAGGCCTGAGCAAAATGTGCCTGATGAAGATGCCTTTGAAATATTGATAAATTCAGGACCAATCTGCAATTTAAGCTGAACAGCTTCCATAGGCTTCACAAATTAGTGGCATTTTGTTTTCCAGGGTACTGTGGCTAGACAGGGATGACAGAAATGTGATCTAATATTACAAATTCACTACTGTTGCAGTACAGTGAATCTTGAAAGGTTCACTCTAATAATAATAAATATAGAGAGGATTTGATCAGATTCTGCACTGAGCTATACAGGAATATGCTTTTGCTATCAGTGTGTGCTGCATTATGGTTTTTTTAAGTTTTCTAGCTGTAGTCTGTACCTCAGCTTCCTCAGGTGTTCAGCTGAGGCACATTGACTTCCTTTGTAGGTTGCTTTGGGAGCTATTGAATAAGGCACAGCCTAAGTAACAACTATCAACTAATGTTTTTTAATTAAATGGTTTGAACATCATCCAATTGCCATGTAACTGAAGAAAGAAAACAACGCATTGAAATTTTTTACATTTGAAAAAAAGTGAAGATGTCATTAAGTCTGCACCTGCATTTTGTTGACCATGCATGATCTTACTATGCTTGGGACTAATAGAGCTCATCTTAGCTAACACTGGGATTAGAGCATCACCATTTCTGCCCTTTATTGCCTTTAGCCTATGTGGAGGGAGTGATGCAAGTAATACACAAAAATTAACTGCTGGAAAAAAACTTTTCCCAGTTATTTTATTTTTTTTTAAGAAGCAAATGAAATAAGTACAACAGCAGAGGCCTTCTTCTGTGCATTGCTCATTTAAAACCTTTTCTTCTCTTTTCCTAGGGGTATCCCTGTTTCCAATTGGAGTTGGGAATGGATATGATGAAGAGCAACTAAGGACTTTGACCGGGCCATCAGCTGCTAACAGAATCATGAAGCTTCAGACTTTTGAAGACTTATCCACTATGATCACATTGAATAGTGAATTTATCAAAAAAGTGTGCATGGGTAAGTCCAACATAGCTGTAGCTTCATAACTGGAGTAAAAGCCAAAAATTGAAATGCCAAAACCATAATGATTTTTCTTGATTTGAGAGGTCAGCCCAATGCTCCTTTTTTAGTGTTTCACCAACAATCATCACAAATGCTAACCTAGACCACCACAATCACATGCCTTGTCAGCATGTAGCCAAGTGCTGTTCAAATTAACCAACTTTCAGCAAGATTTTTAAAATTACTTAGGCCTGAACTTTCAAGCTATCATCTTATTAATAATCAGGGCTGGTCATCATCTTGAAGGACAACAGGAAAATTCAAGTTGTCATGAATGAATGGGGAGCATGTTTCAGAAATATTACAAGTTAGTTATGAGTAAAGATTTCAAATTATTCAAATATTTTTTTGTACAGACCTAAGTATTGTTATGCGAATGTCTACAAAGAATTCAGCCAAAGTGTAAAAAAAAGAATAAGAAAGAATTAACTTTTCCAGGAAAACAAATACTGAAAAAAAAGTAAAGTATTTTAAACAAACATTTATAGCAGTGCCCCCCATCTAAGGAAACTTGCTTCAACTCTGGCCAGTATTTTACTTCTTTTGCCTCCTTGGTCTGTATGTATATAGATATTTATTACTCATATTCTTGTTGTCATTTTTGTTACAATAACATCTACGTGTCCTCTCCACAAACCACTGTCTCATCGTGTTAGTCATTGCACAGGTTTTTACCAGCATTACTAGGGCTTAGTTACGTCTCCATTAAAATAAGTGGACTTTTTTTGCAGAGCCAAGTACCACTAAGAATGAGGAAGTTGCAGAGTGTGCACAGTCCAGCTTAGAGATATCCGATCAGTCTCCACTGGGATCACTTCTGGCATTTTAAAATCTCTCCAGAGCATCAAACAGCTGCCATTTTCTAGATTTAAACAGCTGCCATTTTCTTTCTTTTCTTTTAAAATGAGCTTTTAAAGATGCATTTCCTTTCCTCACACTGTAAAATATGTGATTTTCTTGCCCTAAATTACATTGATCCAAGATACAGAATGGGGAGCAGGAATTTGAGAACAGTAACTATTTTCTTATTGCAGTCTGTGCTATAACCTATCGGTACTAGAGGTGAAAACTTTGTATTTTTATGAAAGCTTTTCCAACAGCACAAAGCATATGCTCAAAAACTTGAATAATAGGTATTTTATATTAGACACCTAAACCTGAAAAATTTAGCTCTCCCTTTTGCTGATGGTAAAGCCTTTGCTGTGGGGTGGGAAATAGCTTCTTTTTTTCAAATTTGTTTTGGTTTTGTGAGTTTTTTGTTTTGTTTTGTTTTGTTTTATTTAAGTTTCTTACAATCTGTAAAGTGTAATTTTCCCCTCCAGACTCATACAGTTGGATTTCTTGTACGGACAGAGTCTTACTTTGTGTATGGAAGTGTACCAAAAATAATACTATTAAAAAGTTTTAAAAGATTTCCTAAATGCTTTCAAAATACATTGCTTGTCCTGGAAAAGACAGAGCATATAACATATATATGCTAGCATAGTATAGTATTATATAAAGAGTTTGCTAGTCAGTGACGTTTTAATTTCCTAGACACGTGCTTATCGCATTGTCATGCCACGGTACTTACCTGGAATTGCTTTCCATGTATCTTAGATGTGTTATGAAAGCACATAAACATAGAAACTGCAATTCATTGGGTGCCTTGTGACCATCTACCTGATTATATAAAAAACTGCCCATCACGGTAATGCCTGAATGTAAGGAAACTGAATTTGAGTATTCTTATTGCAGCTATTTTCATACTTATGCTAGTTGCTGACAAATTTTCTCTTGGGGTTACTCACTATATTTACCTTTCTGCATTTAATAAATTAATAATTTACATACCATGTGTGTGCATGGGTGTGTAAATTCTCATTACCTGCTAATTACAAGAAATATTCTCAATTCATCACAAGATGCAGAAGTAAGGCTGGATACTTACTCAAAGCTAAAGCCATGATGTTCTTTTAAGTACCGTCTGGGCAGAGCTATATGTCAGTACAAAGAGTGCTGTAGAATTACAGCCTACCTGTTGCTCAGAGGGTATTTTGGGACCAACATCACTGCAGAAGTCAGGTAATGCTGGCAGTAACAAAGTGTGTTCTTTGACTTTTGTATGCTTTGGACAAATGCCTGCAGTCTTCAGGTAGGGATTTTCACATTCTAACACAGAAAAAACTTCTCACAGCCTAAGTCACATTTTTAAGTAAGCAATCTGTGTTTTGGTGACCACCACTGAAAAGGCAGGATAAGGGAATGAGATGGCTAAAAGATGTCTGTTTCTCTTTCAGACCCTGTCAGAGAATGTATAGATGAGGATGGAAACAAAAAGAAAGTAAGTGTACTGCCTGGGTCATCCATCTGGCTTTTAGGTTACAAAGTTTATGCAGGACCATGAATACCTTCATAGATAATCTGGAAAAAAAAATGTTAGATAATATTAAGCATTAAGAATTATTTTGGAGGAGGAAAATGTTGGCTTTTGAACTGATGGGATAACTGCACACAAAGGAGACTTCCCCCAGTGACACCCGATCTTGCAATGTGTTGAATACTAATGAAGGCAGTGCAGAGTCAAAACTTGTGACAGTGTGTGTTGTCCCTGGCAAAGAAAAATGTATTTCCATCTCCTGGTGAAAAAACTTCTGGGAAAGGTAGACATGGCCAAAATAAAAGTGCCTGTATAGGGGGAGGCAACATTATTGTCCAGCCCCTCTCCTTCTACTAAAAATACAAGTACCTTATCTCTAAGAAAATTTTATAGGAAGATAATTATTGTGTGATAGTCACGTCTCTAGGGAAAACAATCTCTTAAGTAATGAAATCAAAGTTCTTAGTGTTCATTTGCAGAAAAGCTTTTATAAATCCTGAGAAAATGTTCAGACATGTTAATAAACATCTCTCAAAAGTGATCTACTCTAAGAAAGGAATGTTGTAAATGGTTCAGTTTCTTCATCTCAGGTGAAATGCCAAGGTTTTCAAGTGTGTGTGATACTTCATTTAAAAATGTGAGCATAAGCTTGGTACATGTTTTCTAGTAGGGATCGATTATGAGTTCTCCCCTAGGATTTATCTTGGATTGCCAGTACGTTAGAAATATTCCTTTGATTTTTCCCTTGTGAAGATATGACTGCAAGGAAGGATGTGGCTAATAAAGAAATGCTTATGAGTTGTCTAGACACAGGAAATATATCAAAGCTGCCTTACATGGTTGGCCTCGGTCAGCTGGTCAGAACACAGAAAGGCTTTAGCTAGATCAGACACTAAGTATAACCTGGTGGCTTTAAGGCTGACAAACTAATTAAGAAAAGAACAACAAACAAAAACTAAACTTGAAAAAATTAATTAAAAACAACAACAAAAAATCACATTCTTGTTTATTCATTTGAATTGCATGTGTCCAGGCCTCTGGGCTCCTAGAAGCAAACACGGGTACATGAAGATAGGTGCTGGAAGGCTAAACTTGAATTTTTGGATATGTTAGGTTTCTTTTTTTTGGTGATAAACTTAAAGCACAATTTCCGTTCTGGCTAAAACGCTTTTGGAAGAAACTAATCTAGGCTGCAGTCCATATAAAAGTGAACCACACTTTCAAATGGTAGCCTTTAGGGGGATTCTGTGTTACCTCTTCTATCAGCCAGAAAAAATGGGTTTTAGAAGTCAGTGCCAACATGGTAGCCATTGCCTTTTGGAGCAGGCTGTTGAGCATCCTGTAGTGCTTACAGGACAGTATGGAACTGTTCTGCCTCTGGTGTTCAGCACCCACACTCTGAACTCCTCTGCTGCCTCACTGGCAGTAATGTGCCATTGGCCTGTTACCTTCTTCCGGCCTTGTCCACAAATCCACGGGGATGAAGAATCAAGGCTCTTTAGTAATTCAGAAAGCACAGGCTGTTACATCGGATCCATAATATTTCAGGCATTACTCAGAGAGTTACTGCAGGAGGCTCAGTTCCCCAAGCGGGATGTCTGTCATGCACCTGGAAATTGTGGGAACTGATCTCTTGCAGTTTGCAAGGAAATCAGAGTTCTCTGGATCAAAATTCTCAGCCTAAATACTATCACTATCATGAGTGATATAATTTGTTACATTTTCTTTGTTATTACCTCTACCCTGGAAATGACTGTTGAAGGAAGATTCACGGCTAAGGTCACCATTAGTAGCATAAGGACAGAAGATCAAATGTGCTAGGTCAGGCCAAAAATCTGTGCAGCCCCCTGTTTATGTGGCCAAAAATAGAAGTCAGGGAAGAATGTTAGTAAGCATATATGAAAATTCCCTGAACTGTCCTAGCCTTGAACAATCTGTGACTCTGGGACACCCTGAGCTGCGACTGGCACCTTTTTGTGTTTGATAGTTCTCGATAGTTTTCGCCTTCATGAATTTGTTCAGTCATTCTTTGAATCCATGTAAGTTTTTGGTATTCATCACATCCTATGGTAAGGAGTTCTAACAGTGCTAAATACAGGTTGTGTAAAGAACCACTGTTTTAATATTGGAACTTGCCAGCTGCCAGAATATGTGAATGATTACAATAGATTAAGGTTTTTTTTAATGCAGTTAATTTTCATCAGTAGTCTTGTTTTGGTGCTTGTAAGCAGGCATAAAGGTGATAATAGAAGTGTAGGTACTTGTCTTACAATGGTAGCACTTCTTCATGAAGTGATCTGTATAGCCATCTTCTGCATTTCTAGTCTACGTATGGCGGTAAAAAATACATTCCTAAACTAGCAGTTTCCATAATATGACTTTTTAGTATTGCTCAGCACTTGGTTTAGAGAAGAAGAAATAAACAAAGAAACGCCTGACTAAATTAGAAGGTGCCAGCTGATGAAGCTGGTCAAGATATGTAGCTCACTCTCCTGCATATGCTAAAGAGTGTGCAAGTCCAGGGCCGTAGGTTCAGAGCTCCCTCAGAGAGGAAGTCTGAGGCTTCCTCTGGTGTGCTGGCAGGCTCATCGGTTTCAGCAGACTTATCCTTCACGATTTAGAAACCTCTGCTTTTGCTTTTCTTTCTGTCCTATTTTTACTCTTACAATTTCATATCAATTGGGATTTAGTCTTTCTTTGTCTTCAGAGTCCTGCATTTTCCTCTGCACCAGGTTTCCTGGCTTTTTTGAATCTTTCAACTGATACTTTTGCTTTAAAGAGCTGTGCTTTGCTTTTCTTGTCCAACTCTTAGATGTTTTCCGATAGATGTCCTGTTCAGGAGTGAAATAAAAACAATTAAATATGTATGGAAGCCAGATTTGCACAGCTGTATATGTACCCTTTCAGGTGCTCCACTTTCAGTGAGTTGTAGGTGAGACAACTGTAATTAAAAAAACATTCCGTTTCTTCCTATCTAATTTTTTTTTCATACTTAAAGCTTCTCTTGTTACTTTTTCACAGCTTCTTCTAGGCTCACAAGCCTGAAAAGTATTAAGCCACTTTCAGGACAAGTTGACACCTCAGAGTCCTGAAACATACAAAGCAGGTCCAGTAAATTAACTCATATTTAATATGTAAATTTTTATGGCTGCAAGTCTGGCAGTTGTCTTTTAGACTTGACAGTATCACATAGCTCAGAGATACAGAGAAATATTTTCACATCACTGTTCATGGTTTGCACATTGGTGCCAGGAATAGTCTCTGAATTATGTTGTGGTTACCTACATATTTTATCACTTTTCTCTTCCTTTTCATGGGAATAATGGGTAAGCTGAAAAGGAGAAGATGGGAGATGACCTTGCCCAATAGCAATCTTCTTTTATTCTCCACATGTTTCTGCTTGTGAATGCCATGAAATGTTACGCAGTTCATAGAACCACTGTCTCACTTGTAACTAGTGCTTCTGGACTCACCTCTGTAGAGATAGGTCAGAAAGGGCTGTTTCCCACATTTGGGGATATTCTTGGGAATGCAGACCTCAGGGATGAACACTCTGTTTTGAAATTCATTGAGCCTATTTATGGAATTTAGAGCTCTGTGGGATTTGGGACAGAGAGCTCATCTTTTTGCAGATATGAATCTTGAGATACTCTAGATTGTGACCACATCTATTTCTCTGTCTTTGAGTAATATGTAATCCTGATGCCTTAAAATTTAGACTAACCTTTAGAAGAAGAGAATATATTTTACATTTTATTTTTAATTTTACAAAACCGCTATGTGTATCTCGTAACATTAATCTGCTAAAGGAACAATTTCCCTTTGGGAAGGGAGGAACTGTTTTAAAGTTTTGGAGTCGTGGATGAAATAACTAGAGTATTCCACG